GTTACACAATTTTTGTAGCAAATAAGCCTAAATAAGAGAGCTATGTTCTGACAAAGGAACAAAGGAATAAAATATCGGAATCGGCATCGGCCGAATAAGTTTAACATATCGGCCCAAAATCCGATATCGTGCATCGTTAGTTATTGTAGATTAACCAGGAAAAGTCATAAACTGCCATCTGGATGTTCTGGATTTTATGTAAACATGCCCATTTTAAATCTGAGTTCTTAGAATAATAATAGTTGAAGCCAAAAAAATACCACAACAGCAGAAAACAAATAAAAGTGATCTTGCATCAATAGTTGTAAGTGGAGGTGATATATCTCACAAAAGTGAGTATACCCCTCACATTTTTGTAATTTTTTTTGTAAGACAACACAGAAGATATGACACTTTGATACAATGTAAAGTAGTCAATGTACAGCTTGTATAACAGTTTAAATTAGCTGTCCCCTCAAAAAAACTCAACACACAGCCATTAATATCTAAACCGCTGGAAACAAAATTGAGTACAGCCCTAAATGAAAATGCCCACATTGTGCCCAAAGCATCAATATTTTGTGTGGCCATGATTATTTTCCAGCACTGTCTTAACTCTCTTCAGCATGGAGTTCACTAGAGCTTCACATGTTGCCTCTTCCACTCGTCTATGATGACATCACAGAGCTGGTGGATGTTAGAGACCTTGTGCTCCTCGACCTTCTGTTTGAGCATGCCCCACAGACGCTCATTAGGGTTTAGGTCTGGAGACATGCTTGGCCAGTCCAGCACCTTTACAATCAGCTTCTTTAGAAAGGCAGTGGTCATCTTGGAGGTGTGTTTAGGCTCATTATCATGTTCAAATATTGCCCTGAGGCCTAGTTTCCAAATGGAGGAGATCATGTTCTGCTTCAGAATGCGTCGGGGAATTTACTGATCTCTGATCGGACATCTGTCACCCCGCTCAAACCACCAGCACCAGCAGACCTGACCTCGCTAAAATCGGCAATTCAGCCGGAGGGCTTTCAGTTCAGGAGTAAAAGCAAGAGATATGAGAGCGCGATAACACCAAATTTAACACACCTGCTTCCCATTCACACCTGAGACTTTGTAACGAGTCACATGACACTGGGGAGGGAAAATGGCTAATTGGGCACAATATGGACATTTACACATGGGGCTGTACATGTTGCCAGCGAATTAGACATTAATGGCAGTGTATTTAGTTATTTTGAGGAGACAGCAAACTAGCACTGTTACACAGATGAACATGGACTACTTTGCATCATATCCAAGTGTCATAATTTTTGTGTTGTCCCATGAAAATATATAATAACATAAATGTGAGGGGTGCACTCACTTTTGTGAGCCATGACAACAATCATATACTCAAAGATGTGAGAACTCCATCAACCTGCTGCTAAATGATCGCTTGCTCTTATGAACCAGGTTATATAGCAGTAGCCATTCCACAAAATGAAAATGACTGAAGACGAAGCCACAGATTAGTAGTTTAAAACCCTTTTGACACATTCATTCAGCCTTTATTTATACAGATAATCACATTGAGCCTTGAAGACTCATTTACAAGTGAGACCTGTTTGAAGAAGTCTGCAGAGAATTGAGTCCTGACATTGTCTGCAGTGCCCATTTCCTTCCTGAAGACAGGGCATTTTACAAAAGAAAGAAAAAAAGTACTGTGTGTTGTCATCATTGTGTATTTCTATACAATGATGAAATTTGTGCTCTGCATTTAACCCATCACATGTGAGATACATCCAAGTGCAGCAGCGGGCAGCTAGTGCCCAGGGTGCAGTGAGGGATGACTTTCTGGTCCCAAGTCAGCTGCCCTACCTCTACACCACAGCCAAATCCAGAACAAAACAACACAATGCAGAAAAAATAAAAATCAGTGTTCTGTTTGCAGCACAGAGAATGGCAGACAAAGGTATCCAAAATACAGTTTTCATGATTACCGATGGAAATATCCACAATATTGCTAAAAAGCCAGACATCAATGTATGAACAAGGAAAAACTTCTGCAAACATTTTCTGGGAACACACCAGTGACCTACTCCATCATCGTATTCCCACATGAAAAGACCAAAAAATAAAATAAATAATATTAATTATACACTGCAGAACATGGACGAAAAACGGCTACAGCCTTTATCTAATACACACAGCAAATTCTAAAACCAATCTGTAGAGTTGCATCCCCTTTAAAAGCCAATATTATCAACAATTTTCACAGTAATTTGTGATGTAGGAAGGATTCCCAACAGCTGGGATCTGTTCAGAACCAGAGAGAATTAATAGTGCACAGATAAGCTCCTGCTGGGCATTAAGCACTGAGTAGTCTACACTATGACATATTTGAGGCCCTTGGGTTGGGGCTGGACTAACAGTGTCACATGTCCCCATTTAGCCAAGTTGACAACATAAGTAGATTTATCGTCCTTGATTCCTCCTATGCTGGAGCCTTTCTGTCATGTCATCATGTAGTCTGGTCCGCTAAAGACGAGGCTTTTTTGGCTACATTATTTATTTGTTTCTCATTGGCTGTCCCTTAACTTATGAACATCAATTGTTAGTCACACTTGAGTTCATTTACCTACTGAACGGGATCATTTAAAAAAAATTCTCAACAAGCAGTCGAATCTAAAGTTGGATGAGTCAAATATTGCCAGCATTTTATGTCCAGCTTTTTGTAGCAATTGAGTTTAATATAAACCAGTGTTTCCCCTAGATAACTTGCCATGGCGGGGCGCTCACCTAGTCTGTGATTTTTGTCACAGAACCAACACAAATACCAGTATATAAAATATAGAACAAAATTAAAATCAATGAATTTATTTAGAACATCTTGGTTTGACAGCTTTTTAGACTGTTGTAAGCCCAGTGAACCAAGAAACACTGCCCAGGAGCACTTCAGTAGACTTAATTTACCCAGTCTAACCTGTACTTTGTTTATACCTCCAAAAAAATAACTAAAAAATCATAATATAGCCTTTTGGCTTGATAAAGGCCCCTGGGGCTTTAAAAATCTAGGAGTCGATTGTCAAAAGAGAAAATATTATTTCTAGACTTCGGTTGTTTTTATTTTATTTTTATTACAGAAAAATCTAACATTACAGTGGGTGGTTGTGGAAGAGATTGCAAAGTACAAGTTAAATGCACCGAACAATACAACCAAAATCAGACACAGCCAAAAAAAATATTAAAAAGTCATGACATTTATAGTTATATTTTGGTTTAAGTATGCACTGATAAAGATTAGCTGAAAGATTAAAACAAAATCAGCTATAAAGAAAAGCAGGCTACAACCTGTCAACAATGCATGTAATAGTATTTGTTCTGCAAACTGCAGGCTGGACACAGTCAATCGTTGAGGCAGAGGAGATACTGCGACCAGGGAAGCTATCCAAGTAGACACCATTATGGCCTGAACACTTGTAGAGGCCCATCTATAAATAGTCAAGGACTGCCCTAATGCCCCAACTCCTTATCAACAGTGCAAAGCTTTTGCTTCAGTGCAAGGAGCCAAGAGGTTAGCGCGTGCCACTAAATTACACCACAGTACACACACATGCACACACACACACGTCTGTGCACATGCACGCTTGTGACAGATGAGGGAAAATTGGACATTTGAACCAAAAAGTAAAATTTCATATTCCTTGGTGGATACTGCCTGTGGCCTTGCATGCCAAAGATTTAAACAAAGTGCATGCAAGGTCTGTGAGCACAAAGCACTGGCGCTTTGCCACAGTCTCAATTCTCATCGGTTACGCATCACACCACACTAGTTAAAGGCCTGCCCACTGCCAGTACCCAACCTACTCAGCCTGGTTTATGGGATCATCTTGTTCATGGTTTTAAGCGAACTGCTCCAAGGTGATGATTTTGACGTAAGCAGGCAGCAGCCGTTAACTGGCCAGCGTAGCTACATCAGGATGACCCACCCAGCAATAAATGCAAACTATCTCTGAACCACCATTTCCTCTCTGATAGTGTTGAGTGTTGTTTATCTTGGTTCTGGTATGAAAGCTCCAAATATATTGTCGTGGACCAATGATGAGGTCCAGACCGTTCTAACTTCATTGGCCAATGTTAGGATTTAGCGGAGTGTTGCACACAATTAATTAATTCAACCTTTATTTATACAGGCTAATCCCATTGAGCCTCAGGGATGCATTTACAAGTGAGACCTGGTACACCACAATAACCTGTTATACCGCCCATTTTGCGGTGATGATCCTGCCCTCAGAGTGGGGAAACAAGTCACAGTGGCAAATCACCTACACATGAGAAGAACCGATAAGACAAGAACCGAGTGGAGACGCACTTGTCAATCGCAAAGTGGCTGAAGTGTCAGAGAAGAGTATTAGTTACTACTACATAAAGTTTAAGTTCAATATTTGTAAAAGTGACTAAGCTGTATCCACTTGTAGATTTTCTATGGTCAATTTTCTGTTGCAACCATCTTGAATCAGGTCAACTCAAAATGTTATTCAGTTTTAAATGCATATCCAGCAATTACTTTTTGAGAGTTTCATAAAAATCTATTGCATTTATGCCTGCCTTTCATGGTGGCAGGTGATGAACAAAAACAAAACCCCTCCATATAATTGACATGTCACAATCATCTTTCAATTAAAAACTGAAATAATTAAAAATTGACAGGAGGTAAAGAAAATATACCGAGGGTTCTCGCACAATGCCATTTTGGAATGAAATACATTCTGTTTATCAGTATTTCTCCTCCACCAAGAGAACTTGTAATTTTATCTTCTAATTATAATCTTTCTGGTATTGACACTTCCTTATTGGTGGACCTTCAAATTAAACACTAACTTATCTCGCAGAGGGCACATGTCAGCACAAGTCAATGTGTTCACTTTCCAGTGCTGGTCAGGAATGAAAATGCACATTTATATTCAACCTTTAATTGCTGAAGTTTGGGACAATATTAGATTACAATATATTACTATATAATCTACAGGTAGCATTGCTCTTACCTGAATTTCCCAACTGTTTGTAAAACCTGTATTCCAGATGGAGCTGTGGCGCTCGGGACTTTATGGGTTCCTGAAAGAGAAAAAGAAATAAGAGAATGTTAAATACGGCTTATCCCATAAATAATTTGTACATAAGGGGCTTTAACGGTACAATTGCATGACAGATGTTGATGTTAAACACATAAATACCAACAAAGAAAAATGAGAAAAACTAAAATACCTCAGCCTTTTTCTGACATTTTACTTAGAAAGACATGAGACATACGAGCGTGACCCCAGTGTTTATTGGAGTAACAAATATATGAATGGTACAAATTTTTAGTTAATTCTTGGTTCAGACTTCGTGAGATATAGCAGGATAAAGAGCAGTTCCAGATGGTATATAAACCATTGTGGTGAAGTGGCTGGTAATCAACCAATCAGGACTGTTCATTTACTGCTTGCTCAAGCTTCACAATATAAAATGTAATCTGATTAGCACCACTCTTGTGATGACAATGGCATTACAGACAAACACGGAGAGGAACACACCCAACTTAATTCTTTTTCTTAATCAATACAGTCAGTACCACATTCTGTGTTAAAGCTCTTTTCTACACAAGCACTATAGAGCACCGATTTAAAACAAGGATGCAGAGTTTCCCGTTTGTCTCAATGATTGCATTACCTCTGCATGGAAGGGTGCAATGATATATTTGTCTCAGACCATTCAGTCGGGCATGTATTGTTCTCTGTATACAATGTGAGCACATCAATTATAGTTCACACTAAAGTACTTGTTCTCCTTTAAGTTTTAAAGTTAATAAACAATATACCATATTTATATCAGCATATCGGCATTGAGTGCAATAACTCTTAAAAAAGAGCAAACAACCTTCAGGACTTTTTTTTTTCTGAAATTATAATGTTGAAGGTGTGTTGTGATTTTTCTGCTTTACTAAAATTATACTGAACAAAAAAGAAAATTATAACAAATTGTGCATTTTGTGCTCCTTTACAGCCTACATGATTTATGTAATATTCCAGAAAGCATAATTATTTAATAGTGCTGAATGAGCATTCATAATATAATTTTCCAGTTTCTCTATTACTGTTATTTTACTTTTTCTTTATGTTTTTTGGCAACTACTGGTAACTCATTTTTCAGCCATTCATAAATTAAAATGCAAAGCTTCCTCTGGACGTTAAGTCTATATGACTTTGGGTTTTGGTACCTTTATTACTTTTTAAATATATTAAACTTTTTCTGCCATTTTTCTCTCACTGAAAATGAATGGAGTTCTCGTTACGTTTGGTTGCCCTGAAGTTAAACAAGGGTGTGGTAAAATGGTATGCAGGACTTTCCCTCCTCAGTTACTGTGGTTTCATAAGCACTGGATTACGAAACCACAAATTATTGATCAATTGAAAAACTAAAAATAACATTCTGGGAACACTGGCTGTGGCCATTTTGAAGGTGTGTTCCAAAATCATGACAAAAAAGAGAAAATGCAGTGAATCAAGAAAACAACTACACATCCAGTTAAAGGGTCTACGTAAAGATCAAAATAAAAATAAATATCCTCAACATTTCATGAGCTGTTTGTTGTAGGTCTAATCAAAGAACTTGTTTTCAAATGCATCTACTACCAGAGTTGTTCTGCTTTAAATCATCTAAACTGAAAGCTGAACGGTTGTTAAGCTCGCACTTTCACTCCATTAGGCCTTTATCAAATCAGGATCATCTTCCCTTCTGGTGCCGTTTTAGCACACTGGAGTGTTAAAATAAAATATAAGCCACTTCGAGAACAGTGAGGGACTTTCTGTACTTTTATGATGAGCACCTTTATAACTATAAATTAAGTTCTGTGGTTTTAGTTAAACATTCTCCTCAGAGGATAGTCTGCTGGGGTGGATTAAAATGAAGCAGTATAGATCAATCATGCAGTCCAGTTGCATGTATGCAAGCTTAAGAACCACCCACAACGCTCCTGGTTTAATAAAAGTTGTCATTGTACAAATACAATCTGCTAGTTGCTAACTGGCAGGGAGGGCAGGAAGCTTACGGTGTTGTGGTTCTTTGCATTTTGAATTCAGTACATGTTTGAGTAAAAATGAGTCAACTTCAATATTATTTTTGTTTAAAATTTATGAGGGAGAGTGCCTGGAAATTTTAAGATTTAAGGTAAGCTGTGAGCATGAACTTTGAGGATTTTTACAAGTCAATAATATGATTACATTTTATTTATCGTAATATGGGAGTTGAAAGAACTCAAGTGGCTTCAACATACTCAATGATGATCAAACAGATATTTAATAGATAATTTTACACTTAATGGGAAACAAGGACTTTGGCATCCATGGTACTGCAAACAAGATCACAAGTATAAAAAAAACGTGCATGCATGCAAAAAAAAAAAAACAGAGCGGGAAAACAGGAGAAAACTGAAGAGTGGAAGCATGTGGGTGGAGACACGTGGTTTGGGAGGTGGAGTGGGGAAGTGCTGCAGCGTCATCCACCTCCCACATGAAACAGGCATGTCTCACACAAGTCAGGCCACAGCAGAGAGAAGGACAGAAAACACCAACTATATAAATGAGTAAAAAACAGATGGCATGGAGATGCTGAACCTTTAAAAACTGTTTACAACAGAAAACACAAGCTTATGGCATCTTGACACAGTTTAAGAGTCATCTCTAGTCCAAGCAGATGGACTAAGCTTCATCTTCATTAATGGCTGGGGTCAAGCAGCAAATGTCTGAAGTGGCATCTATGCAAATTACAAATATTTTTCAGCGCATCCTGCAGATATATTTTAATCCAATCCCTGAAATTACATACGAAAGAGCTAAACTGTGGTATTGAATTATATATAATTTCTAAAGTCATAGCTACATGCAATCTTTGCTTACTGGATTTCCACATGTTTGCCTTCATGAAGTGAAGCCTTGTATAAAAAAGAAAACAATAAAACCATGTAGGTAACAGTAGTTAGTTCAATGTTGTAAAGGAAGGGAAATTTTTGATTCAAAATGTGACTGGTGCTGGAAAAAGATTCAAAATGCGAAAATTTTCAATATTGAGTTTCTATTTTCAAAGTCTCCATCTCAAAAGCTTTAAAATGATACTTAACTTGTTGAAAATTGTAACTGGACATCATATCAAAACAGTGTCAAACTAAACAATGACATGAGTAGGTCTGTCGCGATAAACAATAAATCAATTAATCGCATGATAAAATGAAATTTATCAACATAATTTTCATTTATCGGCTTTATCATTTCTTTGTGTCTCTCTTTCTACTAAAGAAACTGGATGACAAAAAGCTCAACTCAACTGAACCCTCCCTTTCTCTTTAAAATCAATTTTAACCGTCCAAAATCGCGTTTTTGGATCATTAAAAGCAGCTAAGCTGAGAAGCTAAGCTACGAGCTAAGCTAACAGGCCGACCTTGGGGAAAAAAAACCTCCGTCTTATCGAAGCTCCAAAATTCATGGTTGAAACCAGTGCCTTTGTGTAAAAAGTTTTTTGCTGCAAAAAAAAGCTGAGAACTTGTTTAGTGATTTTTAATGAAAGCTTTGTGTGAAAAATGCTACGCTAAAGAGCTCAAACCACACAGAGCGTCCGCAATTTTGAGAACCAGAGAGACAGCCCATGTCAGGTCAAGGGGCTTCCCTCCCGTTTTTCTTAAAGAGACACGTTGCTCACTCTCTTACTATCCATCCTTCAGTTCAGTCTTATACTGCCATCCGGTGGTCAAAAAAGGTACTGCACTCAAAACAAATTAAACATTTCTTCTTAAATTTGACAATTACTAATTATTGTCAAATTTCAAACAATATTGTTTATCACAATAATTTCTGAAACAATTAATTGTCCAGTAAAATTTGTGATCGTGACAGGCCTAGACATAAGTGAATTACATATACATTCTCCAAAATGAGGATTTAACAGTCTTCTAGTTTTTTGGTACCGATCTAAGAGTATCAATTTTCTTGACTAAAGTTGTCTATATAAAATTATTCTCTTTGTACAAATGATTGTTGTAAAAATCCAGTCATAAGATACGTTTGGGATTTTAAAAATGATCCAGGTGCATGACTGACCATTATTGGATTTTGTACCTGGATGATTGAGCATGAACTTTGGAGTGGTGGCGCAGAGGTTAGAGAGGTGGGGCTGTGATCTGAAGATCGCCGGTTCACGCCCCGGCCCCGACAACATCAAAATTGTGGGTGGGGTAGGTGAAACACCCACACTTGACCCCACCCTCATTCGTCCCACTCTGGGCCCATGAGCAAGGCCCTTAACCCCCACCATGTGCTCCCTAAACAGGTCTCTCTTGAAAATGAGTTCTCGTGGCTCAATGAGACTAACCTGGATAAATAAAGGCTAAATGAAAAAAAAAAAATAAAATGTCTTGAACCACTTTGGCTTTGGCCGTCTGCCTGGAAGGAGTCAACGGGGGACAGGACAACCCCCAGAAACCATCTTATCACCAGTAACCTAGTTGGTCCACTAAAAGAGTGTACTGCTTAATGAGGAAAACTATTTACTTCGGACTCCTCAGACTGATGAAGCCCTCCGGATAGAGGGCGAAACATCTTTCCACAAAAAAGAAACTGTCCAGATGACCTGATTGACCATTATTGGATTTTGTACCTGAATGATTGAGAATGACCTTTGAACTTCTTGCACTATAATTTTTAAAAATATATCTGACAACCTCTCAATTGAAAACTTAAAAATGATAAAAGGTAAACTACAGAAAAGTTGTTCAAAACCCCTCTTCCATCAGAATGCTGTTGGTCTTGATGGTGCAGGTTAAAATATTCTTACAACTTCAATGCTTCATTAGAGAACATTATACTGTGTATTTTTACTAAGGTCATGGACACAGTATACTTCTATTTATGTGAAAACCTTTGAGCACATCAAAAGCTCATATGACAAAAGTACAACTGTGATATTGCTGGTGGTTTTATTCAAATAAAAATGACAACTATAGGAAGAGATGGAAACAATCATAAATGTATTTTACCATTTTTCCTCATGCTGCTAACTGCGAAAATGCTTAGAGGTTTCTTAAT